GTGTTTTCTCATTCACACACCAGCATAAAAAAGGGAGAACAGAAAGCAACAATTATGGGGCAAAGTCGTAACTGTGGGACACAGATTTCTTTGAAAAATCCTATGACTGAAATAAGATTTTGGCATGTGCTAGATATTATGCCAAGTGCTTTAGGAATAAATCTTTGCAACAGATTAAGCTTAACAATGTTTATCCAGAGTTACATGCTTATGAAGTCAAAATCATGAACTCAGGCAGCCTGACTCACTCACTTACATATGCATACAAAATGCCTTCCTTGAAAACTGACCTTAGGTTACGGGTACCTCATCATGATGTAGTATGAAATAACTGCTCAGGTGACAGACTGAGGAGTGAGGAAAATGTGCATAGTACAAGATGAATAAAAATGCAGGATGTGTATTGTGTCTTAAGGAATAAATTTTCTAAGTATTGTAACAAAAAGAGTGGCAATAGTATCTGTATAAGCTAAAAGGTGGCTGGCTGAAGGTTGAAAAAAATGGACTACTCAAGACTAACATATTTGTAATGAAGTCAAGACGAGGGCAAAGTCATCAAACACTGACATACAATATTATTTCATGGGTGGAGTGGCATCAATCTGGCTGCATACAAGGTGGTACCTTCTCTCTTCTCACAGTGGGTTATCATCAAGAAATTACTACATATGAGAACAGATGTTCTCATACCCCATTTATCACATACCCATCAAGTCAGGGGTATGTGATAAATGAGCACAATACTCTTCATATACCTATTGTAGCAAAGACTCATATATAATATAAATGCTTAAGAAGGGAGGAGAAAGAAGTTGGGAGCAATGTGCTAGGAGGTCCTACAAATCTGTATCTTCCTACCTCTCCTTTTCAACCTTTGAATCTCCTCTCTAGTCACAATCTCTGGGACCATCTTCCCCATTTCCTGCTTTCAGAACAGCTGTCACTGTTTTTTGTGGTTAGTTCTGTACTAATGACCAACTTAGACGAGGAGGAGGAGGAGGTGGAGGAGGAAGAAAAGGCCTAAGGGACACAATCAGATTAGACTAGAGAGATGGTTCCTAGGGTAACCAACCAGTAGAGGCTTGACTAAAAGATAGCCTGTGAACCTGTATTTCCCATGTTGGGGTTTCTTTTGTATCTATATAATTCAGGTTGTATGTATACTCTAAGAAAATATCAATCTGCTGTATCTTTTTTTCTTTTTTAAAGAAAGAATTCAGAAACAAGACAAAATAAACATTTGGGAGACAGCTTTTATTACTGAGTGAAATGACACAGTCAAGAGAAGAAATGTGTGTGTTCTCAGAGTGAGTTGCCTCAATCTTTCTCATTTTAGTTTTATTCTCTAGCTCTTTAGACTCGTTTGGGAATTTGTCTAACACTTTAAAGTGTGTATTAAGTACTGATATTGTTACAGTGTGACTTTTCTAAAAATATATCTAAATACATAAAGATACAGCTGATACTAATTCTTCTTCTCCCAAATGGAGTGCTTCAGTTGTGCCCATTCTTAACCTTATGAGTTTTAAGGGTGCATTTGGAAAACAAAGTTAAACTTTAGTATTATTAATTCATACCAAAAAAAATCTATTTACTATGAGAATGATTCTGATACTGCTTCTATTATTAAACAACAAATCTGAGCCACCTTATCTAATTCTATTAAAACATTTAAACACTAAACTTACATAATTAGAATACATAAAAAGATGTATGCCTGCAACTGTAGCAGTACATAAAGATACTTCTATCAAGTTTTCACTGAAAATTTTAGAACTGAAATTGGACAAAATTAAAACCTCATACTATGCAGGTACTCACTGTTAACTCATTAATGAATTGAACGACAAGAGTTCTCCCAGTTACATCAAAAAAACACTTCATGCAATCAAACTGCCAGGTGCAAAACACTTAACCACTTCCCAACATAACTGATGCTTTGTTTCTATAATGCAAATGAATAATCAGCATGACAAAATTTCATTCATCTTTTAAGAGTTTATGACTACAGGAAATCCAACACACTGGCCCGAGCCAACTTAGCTTCAAGGTACAGATGAAAGCACTAGTGATAATGTGCTACTTAAACCTAAGATCCTACTGCTACTAGGAGAAGTTAGAAAAGAATCTAGAAGGCTGAAGTGAAAGAATGATGAAGGATCAGTTCCATTCCCTTTCTTCCTTTCTCTTTCTGATATAAATAATTCTATTTTAGTTACTATTTCCTAAAAAAGGGCCATCTGAAATCAAATTGGGGGAGAGGGGACAAAGGGACTAGGAAAAGGTGTGAAAGAAAGAAGAAACAGAAAGACAATGGCATACACAAAATTTTAGCTTAGCCCATTAGTAATTTTATACTAATTAAATGTAATGGCTCACTTTCTGAAATAAAAGAAAACCAACATAAACCATTTCGAAGTGTACTTTGTTACTTCTTCTTGCGAAAACAGAATGTGGTAAGATAGAAAATAAGGTTTTTTCCTTTGCCTTTATTCCAGGATGGATTATTCAGAAGTAAGAAAACATATCTAGAGTAATAGAAATTTCTATGAATATAGGCAAATAATTGAAAATTGCCATTCCATTACAAAAATGTATGAATTAACTAAGACTGGTTGTTAAATCAAATGTTTTCTTTGATGTTCAATGAGGTTCTGAATCATCCAAACAAAGTATCCCTGTTTTTTGAATAGCTTTCCAGATTTTTACTTTTTTTTGGGTGGTACTAGGATTGAACTCAAGGCTCCACAAGTACTCTAGCACTTGAGGAACGCCCCCCACCCCCATCCCTTTTGCTTTGTTTATTTTTCAGATAGGGTCTGGAGCCTTTGGGCAGGCTGGCCTCCTACACTGCCTCCTCCGTAGCTGGGACCATGGCTGTGTCCCACCACACCCGAATTTTTTTCTGAGATAGGGTCTTGCTAACTTTTTGCCTAGGCTAGCTTCAAACAATAAATATGATCTCCTCCTTCTCAGTACCCAGGATCAGCCTCTTACTTTTAGAGAACAGTTCTAATTCCAAGCTCCGCATGTGTTCTTTAACCCATTCTTGAAAGGCTTTGTGGTAACTAGTATGTACCACTGTCACCAAGACCAATTCTATTCTGTGGTTCAAAATAATAAAGTATTAAGTTGTTTCAAGCACTGTGGATTATGCTGTAATCACTAAATGACCAAAATAAGACTATCAGACTAGATCTGGCTAAATGGTAATATTATAAAAGTATAAATACTCACTTTTCTTATTATGTATTACAAATCCTTAAAAGGTGGCAGTATGTCTTATGTTCTTTTTATCACAGAGTACAGCTGATCTTATGCATAATAAATGTTATTAGAGTACACCAGATTGATTTATCCAATTTTTTTTTCTTTGAGTTACCACCACTCTTGCTTGGTACCTTGAAATACATTGGTGAATAAAAGTTATGGTCTCTTCCCTCATGAAATTAATGGAGGTGAAAACTATAAATTAAACAAACACATACACAAATTGTGTTACATAAAATAAAAACACATGCCAAAAAAATCAAATAGGATGATTACAAAAACATGACTGGAAAGGCCATTCTGAGGGGCAATACCAACACGTGAAGCGAGCCTCAGGTGGCAAGTCTCAGAGATGTGCAAAAAGGAAACAAGCTGTAAAGGTGTAAAGCAGGAAGGAACAAGCTAATCCAATACCAGAAGCAACCAGAGAGGTGGTTCTAGCACAGCAAAACTGAGGCATTGTGGCACATGGATGAGAGTGCAAGTGGCCTTGCATTCAAGTTAAGGAGTCTGATTTTCTTCAGGAATAACTGGCAGTCAGGCAGCTGATTTACATTTTGGAAAGACGGCTGTGGGGTGGAAATAGATTGAGAGCAAGATGGTAAAAGAGGAAATGGGGAAATAGGGAAGCTACCACAATAGTCTAGGATAGAAATGATGGCAACCCAGGTAGAAATGGAGCAAGGGTCTGCTTAGAGGTATTTTTGTGGATAGAAATGACTGGTTTATTTAGAAATTGTATATTGGGAATAAAGGAAAATAACTCCCTGGTTTCCAATCTTGGGCAACAATATAAATAGTAGTGTTATTTTTTTTACAGAAATAGAGAAGACAGGGAAAAAACAAGTAGTAGGAGAATAGCAATCAATAGTTCTGTTTTTAATGTTTAATATTAACTTTTGGATATTTAAACTTTAGACATTTCTGCTGAACTACCCAAGCATCAATGTTGAGCTAGATAAATAAAATTGGAGAAAGGGAATAATTTAATGCTAGAAGTATAAACTAACAAAAGCTAAGCAAAGAGACACCATGAAAATAAAGCACATAGTTTGGTAGTTTTCCAGTTTGTCTAATGAAGACGTAGATTTGGACCCCACTCTCAGAGAATCTGGAACATGGGAATCTGCTTTTCAAGGTAAGTCCTCGAGTGATTCTGATGGAGCTGATCATCCTACTATATTGTGAGGAGAACTAGTCTAGACAGAAACAGAACAGAAGAAAAGAAAGTCCAGAGCTGAGAATTAGGAAATGCAAACATTTAAACCTATATAAAGAAAAACGCCTACAAAGGACAACGAATAGGAAAAAGAGATAAATGAAAGTCAAGGATAACCTTGGTAAGAGGAGGAAGACACAATCCAGAACATTTTATGGAACGAATGGGAAATGACAAAATGATAACAACTCTTAATGTTTTGGCTCTGACCAGGAGTAAATAAAAGATGCAGTAATTGGGGAAGAACAGATTGAAGGAAAACTGAGAAACCTCTTAAAGTCCATTTTTGACCCAGACTAGTGATGTCTTACCATTATTAAATTCTATTATTTCATACAATAAAGCTATTTTTAAATGGCTTTATTTAAAACTTTAACTATCCCACCAATGATCACAAAGAATTTTTCAGTATGAACCTTCCCCAAAAAATCAGAGTGCCAAAAATTTCAAATGTTTCCACTTTCTACAAAAACTATAACCACTTCATCCCCTAGCTCTTAATATTATTTACCCTTGCAAGATCCTCTATTTCAGAACTGAAGTTTGTTTCTCCTTCCATCATTTCTTCCTCTTCTAATGTTCGTTCATCATCAAAATCATGAACCAGCATGTCAGCTGATGGATCAAATTCATGGTCATCTGATGCTGCTGAACCTCCTGGTAAAGAATATTTTAAAAAGTATGGTAAACCAAATTAAGTGTATCTTTTAATATTAATTTAGTGTATATACATTATTTATCTGAGGCTGAATTTAAGTGAAAAGAGTACCAGGAAAAAGCTATGCACAATAAATACTATTTTTTGTTTTTTAAAATTCTTGGCTTTACTCAACACCATAACAAAAAACTCTTCTTAGGAATTGTTTGTCCTGTCTCATTCCTATCTATTCAATTACAACGGTGAAATTCTGAGACTGGAATACTTAAGAGCGTTAAAAAAATTGTGCTGTAATCTTCTAAACATGAAACTTAAATTGTGAAGAATAAACGCTCTTATCAAAAGAATGGTCTTTGTGTGGGGCATGGAAACCACAATTCTTTACATCTGATTAATGTTTGATAGCCTCAATGAGTATGAACTCTGACACATGAAGAGAATGAATATACAAGGTCATGTGAACTACAGTCATCTGAATATAATAATAGAACGCATAATGATCTTTTGGTCAATGACAAGATTTTTGTGGCTATACCATACAATCTAGGTGTGTGGTAAGCTAAACCATCTAGATTAGTATAAATATGCTCTATGAAGGGATGAACTTGTTCAAGGTACACTGTATGCATGTATGGAATTATCACAGTGAGCCCCCCCTTAGATTATTAATGCATGCTAATTCAAAAATAAAATAAAAATTTTAAAAACTATGTTGTATGTTTATATGTTCACCCAATAATGACAGATTTTTTCAGGTTTCTGTCATTAAGTGACATGACTATTCATAATCTAGTGAAAATATAGATGAATTCAAATATTCTTCTATCAGTACCACCTTGAAAACCTTCTAATATTTGAATAGCTATCCTTAACTTAGTTGATTTTAATCTGAAATATGAGATAAAAAGCAAAAATTTATTAAAATTGCATGAAAACTCATCAAAGGCATTAAAAATAATCTAAGATAACTGATATATAAGCTAATCCATTTGTATCCTTGTGGTTGGGGAATACTGGTAGCCTCAATGTAGCCAATCTCTGTAATACTAGACTGAACACTGCCAAACCTATACACAAGTTTGCAAGAGCATTGCTTACTAATAAATGGATTACTTAACATTAAAAAATTAGCCATTTTTTTCAACAGTTTAAACTGTTGAAGGTTTATTAACAGATATACCAATCCTTTCACCTTACTCTATATAAGAGAACCAATAAATAAAATGAGACATAGGGGCTGACTTCTAAAAGAACATACCACTAGGGACAAGGGAATACCAAAGATGGGGCTTTGTTAGTCACCTTCCAAAAAACCAGTGCTTGCTTACTATGTGTCAACTAACATGCTCAAGAAACTCATGTACATTATCTCAATTAATCTTCAAATAATCGTAAGAGGCATTATTACCTCATTTAAAGGTGGGGGGGGAAGCTGGGCATGGTGATGCACACCTATAATCCCAGTTACTCAGAAGACAGAGACAGAGATAGGAGGATATGGTTTGAGGCCAGCTCAGGCCAAAAAACAAAAAGTCAGCAAGACCCTGCTTGTGGCACCCAACTGTAATCTTGGCTACTCAGTCAGCAAAGGTAGGAGGATTCTGGTCTGAGCAAAAAGCGTAAGAACTTACCTAAAAATACTAAAAAGCTAAAGGATTGGAGACATAGGTAAAGTGATCATTCTTGACTAGCAAACGTGAGGCCCTCAGTTCAAGCCCCTCTAATACACACACACACACACACACACACACACACAAATCACAGTAAGATTCAAGGCTTAGAGAGTTTGATTAAGTAGCACCCCAAACTCATAGACCAGTAGGAGGGCACAAAGATGGAATTTGAATATTGTGCTTTTACTGCACTCTAAGCCTTCTGTGAGTTCTAGAAGTACCCTGCCTCAAAGAATATAAAAGGAGAAACTATTACTAAGATGAGTGAATTATAAGCCAGGTCAGAAGGCAAAGCACTTACAAGAAACTATGCTCTTTGAGAAGTATAAATAATTGGCATTAAATATAAAATAAGTAATTGTCTGCCAAATTAGATCTTTTTATAAAAATGAGTTATAAGCAATTACATCAAGGTTTTACAATGATTTACAAAATGAATTTAGAAAACCATGCTGTCTTAATTTGTCCCAAAAATTGAAAGTTGGTGTAATTTTATTAGGGCATCCTAGTTGAAGGACTAGACTCAAGGGTTCCATAAGAGCACAATTTGAGAACCACTAATTTAGTTACAGCTTTTGTCTCTATTATTATGTCTCTTTCTGAGTTTCCAATGGAAAACTTTCCCAAAACTTCAGTTAACACAGAAATACTGGCTTGGAGGTTAGATCAGGGGTAGAGCACTTGCCTTAGCATGCATGAGACCCCGGGTTTGATCCCCAGCACTGCAACAGAAAACCAACCAAAACAACAACACCTGGGAATCTTCTGGGATACTTAGCAGTCAATAATTAAGTATCCTTAACTATATTTTTCTCCCTTTTAGACAGAAAGACCACACTCTCAAGAAAATAAAAAACCTCATACCACCCCTTTGTATATTATCCTAATCATAATGTAATTCTTACTGAATAGAGGTGTTGCCAAAAATGATGATGAATTCTTATCTACTGTTGTGTTGTTCTGTTGCTGGTTTCTGGCAGTACTGAGGTCTGAACTCAGGGCTTCACACTTGTGAGACAAGGGCTTTACCACTTGAACCACACCTCCAGCCCATTTTGCTTTACAATAGCAGACCTGGGTATCCACAGGTGTGTGGTTTCAAGAATGCTGTTGAGGAAAAACCGCCCCTGCTGAGGATATAAAGCGTTCAGTGCAGTCCTACAGATGCTTGATCACTGTTCCCAACTTCTATTAAAGACATGCCACCTTTCAAACAAATCTAAAATTTTCACTTTATCGCTTCAATTAAGCACAACATGTGCCCTTTTAGGCTTACCTTTTAGGTAATCCGGAAGAACTGCCATAACTTTTGCCTTGCTTTCAAAATGAAGGGCAGTTTCTCTACATCAACTAAGCTACTAAAGTGCACATGGGAATTTGAAATTCTTATTTTTGAAATTTCTTTTGATTTTTAATTTTTTTAAAACTGTGCTTGATCAAAACTGCTTGTAATAAATCTGCAAGTAAGGCAGGACTATTGTAGTTATTTTTCAGAGAAGGCCTCACTCTTTTTGACCAGGCCAACCTAGGACCATGTTCTTCAGGTGTCACTCTCCTATACCTGGGATTATAGGCAGGAGTTACCACGCCTTGCTTGTTCTGTGAGATAGGGTCTCATTAACATTTTTAAATCTGAGTTGGCCTCAAACCACAATCCTATCTCTGCCTCCCAAGTAGCTTGGATTGTATACATGCTCCCTATCTGGCTCTCACTGTTATACTATTGTTTTTTTCTTTTGGTGGTACTAGGATTTTAACTCAGAATTTACACTTGCTAGGCAGACACTCTTACCACTTGAGTCATACAACTAGTCCTTTTTGCTCTTCTTTTGAGATAGGGCCTTGCTTTTTGTCTGGGCTAGCCTAGGCAGTGATCCTCCTATTTATCATTTGTGTTGCAGCTGGGATGATAGGTGCATACCACCATACCCAGCCTTTTCTGTTAAGATGGGGTCTCAAGAACTTTTTGTCTGGGCTAGCCTCAAACCTTGATCCTTCTGATCTCAGCCCCCTAAGTAGCTAGGATTACAGGCAAGAGCCACTGTATCAGGCTCCCCACTGTTCTTACTAACTTAAAAAAAGTCAAGCTGTGAGTACACAGCATCAAATCATGAGTGTTATATTATTTACCAAGGTCCCCATTTTTTGTCATTATTTGCAGACAACTGTATTTGAAGACTTGCCACTTCATTCTTCCACTACTTCAAATACCAAAGTTTAGGTAGAACTTTTCCTTTCTTACTCCAATTTCTTTCCTGTGCACACATACTGCACTTTCTGTAAACGTTCAATTGCACTTTTTCCTGTCTTACACTGACCTCTTTCTTTTATCTGACTTATTTCCTTGTTCTTTAGGACCAACTAACCAGTCTATTACTTTATCAATTGTTTGACCCACTGTTAGACTGTTTCCTAGGGGATGAAAAAAATCCCAGTAATAAATTATTAGGGGTAGAGAATCTAGTGCTTTTACAAATATTTTTCTTCACAGTTAAGGCAAGTATCACTTCTTTGTTATAAAATCCCATCCTAGTGTAGGATTACTAAAAGATACCTCACATCTTTTCAAAGACTCAAAGATAAATTGACACTGCATCATGTGTATTCACCTAATTATTTTTAAATTTTCTTCCCCGTCTTTAATCCCCACATCTAATTTTTGTTTTTCTATTCTATAATAGAATATAGGTACAAGCTTGTGGTTTACACTGGTGGAGTCTATGGACAAACCACTTACTATGGTCATGTGACTATCATTACTGGAATTGGTTCCAAAGTACAGAGGCTACAAAGGGCACAGCGTGGCCTTATTACCAGTAGACCTAATCATCTCCACGTGAAGCCCATAGTCCTAATTTTTTCACACCAACTTTTATAATTCCCTACAACTAGCATTACTTGTCCAATTTCTACCATCCAGAACATATTTATAAACCACAAAGTTAAGAAAATCATTGAGTTTCAGAAATGTCACAAAGCCTAATATACTTTACTTTGACGTATATTTAAAAAAGACATTTTCAGTGAAAATAAAGACAAAAATCAAGTGTGAATGAAGTGACTGTCCTAGTTATTTAAAAGGGTTGTGGAAATAATCTAGAACATAGTAACTGTGTTAATGAAAAGGACCTTGCACTTACGCATTTTTAAGTTTTCTCTCTAAAATTTAAAACATGGGAAAGTGATTGCTTCAAAACAATACACAAACTTCAGCAATGTGAAATATATCTAAATATGCACTATATGTTAAGACATCTTCAAATAAAGCATTACAAAGTCTCAGAGGGCTAGCTCCCTTTCATACTCTTCTATACCAGGCTGTTCTTTAACTCTCATACCCTAAACAGAAGGTGTTTTAAATTTCTTAACTGCCATTTTTGCTTTATGCAGTTATAATCTATTTCCCAAGTAAAGCTCTCTGTGCAAGGATACAGGAATGTTTCTTTACTCTTGCTAACGGAAATGGAGGCAAAAAGATTAGTGCCTTTTTCCTCAACACTATCTAACTACAACCAATTATTGCCACATAGTACCCAGTGCTGCCAGATGAGGAGAACCCTACATGTAGATTTTATATATAGCATTCTAAATTTTAAACTTAGAATGGACTACAATGGCCAAGCAAAAATCATTTGTGGACTAGAGTGGTTCAAAGATCATGAATTTGCAACGTCTATGCTGAAAATAAAAGAATCTGTATTGTATTTGGGGGAAAATATAAAAACCCTACATGTAAGGTCAGAGGATACAACTTGATCCTACTCAAATCCAAGAATAACTTCCTTAATTTACAATTTTAAATATTCATCTATTGAATCATTTGCTTATTTTCCCTACCTCAGTAAATGCATTAGCTCTATTTTTCTCAAATATTCTTAACTTTTTATACAAGCCATATATTTCTAAGGTAAAACAACTATGCTTCACATATACTTCCAATCAAGATGAAATACATAATCGGAACAAAAAAAGGGAGAATCCAAAAATAGTCATGAGGGTGAACTCACAGCAGCCTCACCTGTACTTTCATGGGCAGTCAAACATTTCATCCATTTCTTTTTCCCCAGAGAAAAGAAGCATTCAGAAGAAAAGCAAGTCAGATGATAGTCTAACTCTGCTAGCCATCATGCAGCTTAAAAGACAAATGTTGGTCAAACAGAATTATAAAATATACAGAAAAACTTACCTGGACTCGAAGACTCAACAGATGGCTGGGGAGGAGAAAAGACGACAAATTAGCATTTTTGTACAATGTACCTTCACAAACTTTTCAAGACTGTTCAATAACTGCTACGACACTAAAAACAACAGCAAGTTTTAGCATCTGAATTATCTAACACAAACTAAAACTTCCCATAATCTTTTTCCTTCCATTATATTAAAGCACAGAGACAAATCTTAAAACACTCCTGAATGAAAAAACAAAGACAATAAAATGGAATTCAGATTTTAAAATAATATGGGCCTGAAAACATGGATTAACAGATACGATTAGGTCTTGAAATTTTCTGAAACAGATTTTCTTCTGTCAATACTGCAAAAATGATGCACAAAGTTTGCTATCAGGCTGATCTATGGCCTAAAAAATGAGTTGTGAAAAGGGAGGCAGAAACAATTTTAAAACATTTCAAATTAAAATTATGTTGTAAAAAAAAGCAAAAGGAAAAAATTAAAAATATTATTTAACTGCCAAACACTAGATTAAGCTAACTTTACAAATAAAGTATATTTTTAAGTAGTCATAGAATCAGCAATCATTCAAGTGAAGTGTAGAGAGGTTAGGTTATCTGAGGGAAGATGGCACAAATCCCAATTATAATGTTTCCTGTACTATACCATTCTATCGCTCATAAATTTAACCACAAGTAACTACAAAATTTAAAGATGAAATTGGCAGCAGCTTCTTTTATTAATGTTACCACTTGTCAGGATGGTTGTATTTTATCTTCATTCAGTTAATCTACAATTATAAACAAGTCATCTTCAAACATAAATTCCTTTAAGACAAATTCAGTAACAACTCAATGTTGCTTGAGTGGGGCATGGTGGTGCATGCCTGAAATCCAGCACTCAGGAAGCAGAGGCAGGAAGATCTCCAGTTCCAGATCAGTCTAGGCTACATAAAGAATTCCGGCTAGCCTGGGCTACACAATGAGACTCTGTCTCAAAAACAAACAAAAAGCTGCTTAAATGATGTGAGTTTTATGAATAAAACCCTGACAATTCGCTCAGAGGTCATCTATTTCATTCCCATTTCAAGACAAGAGATGGATGGTACCCACTAATACATTTTAACTAGTTTGAAATGAGGCATACTTCTTCCAAGCAATGGAGTACCATAAATCCATTAAAAAGAATGAGAAAGATGTGTTTAGTTTAAAATGGGGAAAAATATTAGGAGTTAAAAAAAAATATAGAACATGGAATAAACCGGGCTAGACTATGCATAAATTTTTCCTCAAAAAAGATTCATAAGAATTTATTGTTACTTCTAAGGCTGTGGATGTGGCTCAAAAAGTAGAGCCTACCTAGAAAAGTGCAAGGTCCTGAATTCAAACCCCAGTACCACAAAAAATTTCTTCTAGGGAATGAGTCAGAAAGAGGCGGCTATTTTTCACCTCTTTTTCTGTACTGTCATTTTCATGTATTACTTACCCTTTTTAAAAATTAGTGAATTATTTTATGGAATGTTCATTTTTTTTCTTTTCAGTTTTAAAGAAAGCCTAGTATTTGCTATTTTTAAATTATAATTTTCAAAAATTACAGTATTCTTTTTATACAGATACTTGTTTTATCCGAGATGGAAAACATTAACACCAGAAAGACATACACACAAAATCATTATGCTAAAGCAAATGAAAAAATATCTCTACTTTTATAGTAGCATGTACCCTCACTAATACATTTATATGACTTAGCTGATGAGGTTGCTAATAGGAGTAACAAATACTCAATGCCTCAAAAATGCTGAAGTATTTTTTTTTTAATTTTTCTAGAACATGGTGGGTAAATGCCCCAAACAACAGAAAAGAGGTAATTTGGGAGAGTAAAAGATCAACTCTAGAAAAAGACTAGAGTATTACCATTATTCTTTACCAGAAAAACAGAAAGTACTCATTAGACCCATATATTCCAGACAATCAAATGCTTATTTTCAATGCAAATAACTGAGTCAATTTTCCTCTCTATCCAATACCAGCACCATTTCTTTAAGTGTTGCCATAACTTCCTAGGTGAAAGCAGATTTACAGAGCCATGGATATGGGGCAGGAAGGAGTTAGGGAGCCTACCACAGTTGCAGGGAAGCACTCACCATCCCACTCCCCCCATACAAAATTATGTTACTTAACATTGTATTATCCTAAGGAATGCTGCTATACTCAGGAATGCTTGAAGTTAAAATTAGCAAATTTACTATAGTAGTAATAATTTAAAGGGTAAAATGGTATCATATAAGAGAAACACTCGGAATTCAGAAGCTTGGGTTTCAATCTTAATTGTGCCAGACTACTTGTCTGATCTAGAACTATTCAGTTTCATTTTCTCTGTGATGAGACTTAAGATTTCTTTAAATTTAGTTCAATTATTTTCAAGAACTATTTATTTTTATTATGAATTGCTCAAAACACAGCTAAACGGATGTTTGTTTATTTTTGCTGGTACTTTGAATCCAGGACTTCGCACTTGCTTGTCAGGCTCTACCACTTGAACAACACCTCCAGCCCTAAATGGATAAATTTAATAGACTCTTGGGTACTATTTTTTAAATCTAGATAATATGGAAAAGACAACCTCATTTTAAGAAAAGCTATTTTGGAGTGCTACTTTGCAAATTTCCTATCTACATAGCATAATTGTAATGGTCATACTTCTCTAAGGCACAGAACAAGCCCAAACAGAAAGGACCCCAAGCAATGAACAGTTTAATTACTGCAATGAGTTCTGAAACCATCTGTGAAGCTAGTTAGTCTCACCAAAATTATCTAAAACAATTCACTTCTTTATTCCTCCCACCAAACCTTCCTCACCTAGTTTATCAAGTATTTTGACTTTTTTTTTTTTTTTGGTGGTACTGGGGAGTTGAATCAAGGGCCTAGCAGCAGGCACTCTACCACTTGAGCCACTCCTCTAGCTCAGTACTTTGACTCTTACTCTCAGTGAATTAAGCTTTTTAGAACTCTCATGTAACACTGGACATCCTGATATAAGCTTAATAACCTGAAGTACAAATACTTTAAAATAGTCATCAGAATACAGAATTATTTAGAGCTTAAATTTATTGCAGTGAAACACTTTGATTAGAGTAGAAATTAACACTTTCAAGAAAAACCTAACACTATCCTATTTCCTTAAAAAAATAAAATGCAAGTGGATTCAAGAAATACTAAGTCAAGAGTCTATTTTTAAGAGGACTGGATGGGAGACTAGAGACATGGCTCAAGTGGTAGAGTTTGCCTAGCAAGTGCAAGGCCCTGAGTTCAAACCTCAGTAATGTCAAAAAAGAGGAAGGGATAGATGTGACAGTGAATAAAACATTTATGTATCACTTTTGGAAATATTAATATACCTAACACTAATACAGTAAATATATCCACTAAATCTTTTTCTCTTTATCTATTACAGAAATGTGATTTAGGTCATGAAAAGATAGGTCTTGTGCTATGCTGGGGCTTTCTTTTGCTTTCATGTTTACAAACTCTGAAATAAATTACAAACTGCTCGTTCCCAAAGGTCTCTACAACACAGTCCTTATAAAACCCAAAGGATCAACTATTTCTTCCTCTTATTTTTCTCTCTCTCTTTGAAAAACTGTGACTACCCTGTAATTTCCTTCCATTAAGTGTGACTAGGAGAGCCTCCTTTTAGAAGGTTGAGAAATAATTTTAAGGGATAACAAGCAATGAGAAATATTACTAAAAAGTATCAAGAGAGGGAACACATACTATTTCTTCTATCATGTTAAGGATATTTTTAATGTTACGACATCTGAAGAAACACTAAATGAATTCACTAAGATGACCAGATCAAGTATGGAACTAATCACATCTAAAACATCTGTGTTTAAGTAAATATTTTTCCAGAAAAACAAGGTCAGGGTCATTCTCAAGTAGGAAACAACAAAAAACCCCAAAGCACAATACCCACATATCTGTCTGGAGACATGCTGCTTCAATTCCCTCTTAGCTTTGTCAAGTAAGTGCATACCGTTGCATGGCCCTCACTGCTACTTCACAAGTCAGTCAATCCTCAAGTCTACAACAGTCCAGCATATGCAGTATTTCACCACGTGCATCTCAAAGAAGAAATCTATTAGCGCTCATACCAAGGTAAGTACAAGCAGTCTTAAACCAAGCATTTCTCCTTCATCTCATTTTTCTAAACCACCAGCCTGGTCTTAAAAAAAATCATCCCAATTTTATTAAAGTATTGACACCAGGAAGATTACAAATTAATTTTCATCTATTTCAGATTTTTTTATAGGACACATCAAGAAGGTTCCTGCACTCTTCGTCTTATTCACTTATTCACTGTAAGTAAAACCCATCTACAAAAAAAATGAAGAATATAAAAATAATTTAAAGATACCAGGTCATTAAATAAATGCACTACAAACAAAATTCAGGCTTTTTTTTTTTTCATGAAATTGAGCCATCCAAGTGTTCTTACAAAACCTGAAAATTCCATTTTCCAAATGAGATATTTAAGGAAATTAGAGCATACATTAGAAAATATGAGAAAATGACTAGTTTGTCTGAACACTCTTTCTCCTCTCAAAACTAATGCAACCTTTTTTAATTTCTAAAACAATAAGAAAAAAAAAGTGTCCCGGGCAGTAGAATTTTCAGAGTTTTTTTAAAAGTTTGTATTTATTTATTGGTGGTACTGGAGTTTCAACTCATGGCTTTAAGCTTGCTAGGCAGGAACTCCACTGCTCAAGCCACACCCTCCAGTCCTTTGGACTTTTTGTAAAATTTAAATTTCAATATAATTTCACAAGGCTACTTTAATAACCTTTTGCCTTAAAGTACACAATATAAAGCTCACTCATAGCACGATGGCACTGCTGTTCATCTACTTGGATTCACGGAAAGGTGACTCATTAAAGTGAAGACCAATGGACAAACATGTAAATCAAGTCACATACTGTTTTCTTCCCCTTACATCAGAAGAAAAGTAACAAGAAAGAACCTCACCAGGACCAAAATCCAGGTACTGACTCTCAGCCAACTGGAGTAAACCCTGCCACATTTACATGAAATAATAGTGTTCTACAACCTTGCACGTGAAATACAATTCTTTAACCACGAAGACCTAAAGAAATGAGTATGAATCTAAGATAATTTAGCTGTAAACCAGAAATATTGAACACTAAAAAAAAAGAAAACTGTCAGCAAACAGTCCTACTCTAGTAAAATCTCTTCCTACTTTAATAGCAAATATTCTAGGACATAAATACAAAGCCAGTTTCTGTAAGAAGCAGAAGTAACATCCTAAGAGCTACGAGAGAAACGAACCTTTCGTTAGGGCTCTCCACTGGCTTCCATTACCTACCTATGCTCCTGTATTCCAACGTTTAAAAAGGGTATTACCATGTTGACAAAAGTACTCAATACCGATTTCAGCTAGCAAATAAAGGAGTTGAAAATTGGGGACTGGATGATACGTAAAATTACCTACTTCCTGAATCGGTTTTGTGGTGCCTTTGAACTATAAAAACGCCAATTCTAACAAGAGTAATGCCTTATTAGCCAAATATTTAGAGTGGCTTATCTCAAAGGAGACATAAAGTCCAAGTATATCGTTGTGAACTCCAGAAGTAAAGGATAACAACATTCTTTCACGGATTAGGAAAAAAGTAAACAAAACAAAACCCCACAAATCTGTTTAGAAGGCTTGATTAAATCAGAGGTAAAACTGCAATTTCCAACTATACACAGTAAGTTCTAATCAATCGTAAACTAACAGTGCTTGGTCGCCCATCAATGTGAGAACTAAGTATGTGCCGGGAAGAAAGGGGCTTTTGGAACTTGTTTACGAGAAAATGAGCGAGGAGGGCTGGGATGTGGCTCAGTGGCAAAGCGCTTGCCTACCATGCGCAAGACCCTTGCATTCTTCCCCGGCACGGCAAAAATAAAATGAGTGAAGAGAAACAAGAAAAATCTCCCAGGAAAGAAAACCTGGAAGAGGAAAATGAGAAGCAGCAGCTTTGATGTGGGAAGACCCCGGCGTGGGGGAGGAGGAGCGGGTAAGTCCGGGCTCTACCTGGTGGGGGGAGGGGAAGGGACTGTGCGGGGAGCGCCGGGCCCGCAGGCTGGACCTAGACTAGACGGCCGGTTCATTTCTTCACGCTCACGCTCATCCGATCACTGCTAGACGACCACGGAGTTAGGCAGAGGCCGTTCAGCCTGCGTTTCCTGGATGTCAGCAAGGGCGGTGGGGTGAGGCGGAAGGCGCAACAGCATCTCGGTGGGGAGGAAAAAGTTCGCAAGAGGAAGCCGCGGCTGGGCGCCCGGCCCGGCCGGCGAAGTTGCGCCACGGCGCCCGCGCCCCCCGTCCGCACGCTGCTCAACACCAACCCTTCCAAGTGCCGAAGTCCAACTACGGCTCCGCTCCCCGCCCGGACCCATCCCAACTAAGTTCCCGGGAAAGCCCGCCGGAGCGCGGCCTGACCCGGACAACAGGTGGGCAGCGGCGCCGGCAGGGCCCGACCTCTCCTGGCCGGGCCCACCCCGCTCCCCCCCGCAGCCAGAGCCCGGGGTCGCCCGGCTCCGGGACAGGGAGGGGGAGCTCGCTCCCTTACCTCCGCCATATTTGCCGTACTGCCGGGTCACATCTCCGCGGCGGCCGCGACTGGGTCAGGGCCAGAACCCGGATGTGAGACTCGGCAACGGGACTCCAGCCACCGCCGTCTCCGCCGCTCCCGCCGCCGCTGCCTTGGCGGGAACGCGCAGGAGCCGCCCGAGCGCGCCCACCACACCCCACTCCGCCCCCTCGCGGCTCCTGGCCGCGTTGAGCGGGAGGGAAAAGGCCGGCGAGAGCGCGCAGAGGAGGCGCGCGCGGCGCCGCGAGAGCGCAGAGGGGCGGGGCCAGGGTGGGTGCAGGGCGGCGGCCCCTCCGCCCGCCCGCCCGCGAACCTAGGCAGGGCCGGAGAACACGCCCGTTTCCGAAGCGCATCCACCTCGAAGCAACCGCAGCACGAACGGCGTGTGGAGGCGGCCATCCCCAGACAAGTACTTCCCGACGCGATTCCCGGCGGGGAGTAAAATCCACGTCCCCAAACCTTCGGACAGGTCAGAGCCAAGACCACGAAAAGGGGTTGCTAGGCGCTCGGCCATTCTCAAGTCTCATTTGCTTTTCACACTTTTTATGATGCCACGAGCGACACGGTTGTGCGTGTTTGCACAATTACACAAAATGGTTCGTGTTTGCACAATTACACAAAAATTTGAAACGTAACATACTGAAAAACTGCTCTTTGGTGGGCATTAAGGATCTCCTGCCTGACTGCAAGGAGGGAGAAGCCATGTCTTTGGCAAGCCTGAGACGCCTGCAATTTGAAGTTCTGATGGAGCTGCACCCTGGCCTTGACGTCAATACTGATGATCACCAGGGCCAAGGATTTCCAAGGAACAAACCTGTTCCACTTCCATTTACTAAGCACATACTGGCTGATACAGAGGCAGTGTTAAAATGGGCAGTAAGGTACTTTACTAAACCGATGTTCAAAAGTCTTATTTCAAAAAACCAGGATTTTTCCCAAATATTCAAGGATTCTTCTTAATGCAGTTTTAAAAAGGACTATTAAAACACTTAACTGCTAATGATGCATTCCTTCTAAGGGTGTTATACTGCATAAACACATACATATACAATTTTTCTTAAAGTTAGTAATTATAAAGCAATATGGGGGTCGCTCTTTTCTTAAATTTGCATTTCCTACAAATTCTAGACTCCATCAAGCATTTTCCTATTTCCAAAAATTCAAAATTAACTTGAAACTTATGTCCAATAATAATTGGTACATGAATAAACTGCATCGACAGGCATATGAAGTAGCTGCTAAGTGAAAGGACATTACCTGGTAATTTGACAGGAAAAGAGTCCACAGACAGTCTGTAAACCAATTAAACATAAACATCTGATGCACATTTTCTACTGAAAGAAAAGCAAGGGAAAGAAGAGAGGAAAACTTTAAGGTTCCCAAGTCTACAAACAATTTTTACCATTAACTGTACTGTATTTTCATTTTATTTTTAAGAAAATATTTAAGTTTTCTTTAGGATTCCTTGAGGGTACAAATATTTTAGCACAAGTATATAGTTCCTACAGGTTTCCCTGTTGAATTATGTTAGTACTTTGGGCTTGAAATAAAATGACTTTTCAAAAATGTCTGTTCTTACTTGATAACACACTTGAAGAAAAGAGCTGAAGGCAAAGAACAATGGATGTGCATGGACCTCAGGTGAGTACCGACAAACACAATAAAAGCAGTAGAAACTCAGGCTTTATGCCATGGGGAGGAAGGAGGATTTTCCACTATGGTGTGAAAGTTCATACATGGAACTTAACTGACTATAAAAGGAAAACTAAAGTGTTGCTAAAAGGTAAGGTACAGGGATAACTTATTCTGTCCACTGAATCTTTGATTCTTCAGTTAAACCATCAACAAAAATCCCAAGTGTAATAAGGAACAGGTCCTTTAAACTCCTGAATGAATCCAGAAAGCCAGAAAATCAAGTCAGAAACATTTTTAAATGGATGTTTGTCTTACTGTTAAGTGACTTTTAAGTTCATTAATAATATCTATCAATGCTATTAACTTTAAGTGGCATTATCATTTACAGACGAAAGAAAAAAATTCCTTCTACGGTTTTCCTCCTCTTTTATTATCACTGTGGGTTCTGTGGCCTTTTATAGGTTCTGACATTCTAAAGGTAAAGATAAACAGCTCTAGTACTGTTAAGTCATAAGGAACACATTACTACTGAATTCAATACTTTCATTTTTACTCTAGTGATAGAAGTATCTTAAAAATTTCCAGGAGCCATGTTAAGGAAAGCAAAGTCCTTCTCAAAACTGACTTACCCTCTTAGGTATGAAATGTGTAAAAACTATTCATACTTCATGGAATGTTAGTGCTGGATGGGACCTTAAAAGTCTTTAGTGAATTCTATCCTCAGAATGCTTCACCTATCAGGCTTTCCTGCCTATGTTTAAACACCTCCAGTGACCCACTGTATCTCATGAAGAGGCTGCTATCTAAATATATGGAGCAGTCTTCCTTTCATTCAGCCAGAATCTACATTTCTTCAGCACTTTGTATTAATTCAACAGACATCTTTGTATTCTAATGTAAACAGTCAATTTGGGTTATACTTGAATTAACAAAAAAATGTATCTTTAAAGTCTTTTGATATTGGAAGAACCGAAAATGGGACCTGACAGAGCTAAAGGCGTGAGAAGATTCACCATCAACTATAACCTATTCGAAATTATTACACTTTATATTATTTATTCATGTGATATTCAAAATGGTAGCTGGGTTAGAATTGTGAAAGCTAAACTAAAATGTATGGTCAATTCCAATTCCATGTGAGGTTTGGGGTTTATGTCCCAAAACAAAAATTCACTATACAAGGCCTAAATGCCTCATTAGCTCTTATTCTCCTTCTAAAGGCATCCTTATTTTCGGGCAAATCAATACTAATTTTTAATCACATTAAACTACTCCAAACTGCTATTGGGAAATTATTTTTAAGCAATTTACTGAGTCCTCCATTCAAAAGTTGTTGAAAAATTTATAGGAGCTATAATGGTAAACACACACACACACACACACACACACACACACACACAGCTCAGAGATACTATTTTGCTGCTAGCAAACACATGTAGGGTCACAATTTTACTTAAGGCAGTACTTTAAACCAATAAACTCCTTTGGCAATTTACATATATCTAAGAAATACCACCTTTTATTCAGTACCAACACCTGGTTCAAATACAAGTTATATATATATATATATGCTATATAAACATATCTGTTTATGCAACTCAAAAAGTTACCGGTCAAAATGCAAAGAGAAAACACTTGTAACAATTTTGACTCTGGGGCTCATTGACTGAGTAGATAAATACAACATATCCAAAACCCTAAAAATATCTCTAGATCTAATAATTTTCAGGATCCATGAATCCTCTTTTGAGATGATTTTGTAAACTATTTCCTAAGATTTTTATTAAAAAGTGAGCCAACACTGTATCTTCATAATATGGAGCTAAAAATTAAGCAGCTCAAAACTGCCTACATACCAAAGACCTAACCCACTCTTTAAAATGGTATGTTAGAAATGTTGAGTTTTCCTTTAGTACGCAGAAATTCAGGCTGCAAAGCATAAGGCATTACAGTTAAAGGCCCCACATTCGTGAGACAGTAAGCGCCATCTTTTTGCTAGGTTTTCTTAAAAAAATTATTAATGCCACCCTATCATACTTAAATAGCCTTTTGGCTCTTCAGAGAACACTCCTGGTTATTGTTTTTCGTGCTTTTTTTACATGGAGTTTTATCCAATGACCCCATTTTATTAGTATATTACAAACTGATATGTTTATAGTTCTTACATTGCTGATGTTATATCTCACCCAAATTCTGGAAATTATTGGCCCATTAGCAGTTGTCCAACACTGGAACATACAGAAGAAGAATCTATTACTTGAGGGAGTTTGAATTTTCCCTCCCTTCGTCTCCAAGTGTGCCCCTGCCTACCAGCATCACATCCGTCTTGTCTGCATTGAACCTCAACCAGTTGGTTCTTAACCACGTCCGAAACTCAGCCAGGCACTGGGAGAATCGAGCCACCACACCATCTGGATTAAAGGAAAGAAAGCCTCAGTAGCAGCGAGACAGCAACTGTTTCCACAAGCTCACTCACCCTGTCTCACGTTTTTAAAACGATGTCTGGGAACTAGGTCAAGGACCCCAAGACAATTCTAGAAAAATATCCAGGAACCCTGAGTCATGCAGTTTGTAACCAATGGCAAAGGAATAAAAGCGATCCAATAAACAGGTCGCCCTGTTTCACCCATGATTGAAGGAGGAAAGTTCGGTCAACTCCGGGTCATCTTGGCTAAGCGGCCTCAGTAACCAGGCCGGTATTGTAATTGCGTTAGTTTTTCTCCAAAATTAGATTTTTTTGCATTGGAGTAAGCTTTAAATAGGGAAAACTAAAGCCCAGAGAGGGGGAGTGACTCGCCCAAGGTCACACAGCATGCAAGGACCAGACCTGGGCTCCAGGCCAGGCACGTCTCTATTACAAGCTGAAAGAACAAAGCCACTCAAAAGGGGCCAGGCACCCGCTGGGAAGACCTCGTTCCCTTCCAGTACTGTTCCTTCCCGCCTTCACTTCCTCGGAAAAGGGCAGGCCGGTCCCGGGTCCCGCTCCCAGAGGCTGCAGCGCAAGCCGGAGCCTCCCCGGGCTGGGACAAGATTCGGGGAAATACAGGGAGAAAGAGGTGGAGCCACAGGGGTGTGGTCACTTCGCCACACCCCGCTCGGGATCCAGAGCCGACGGGAGAAAGGGATGGAAGCGAACGGGGCGAGGCGAACTCACTCCGCAGCGGATTCCCAGCGCGCCGCGGACGCCGCCGGGGAGACCCGCGCCGCCGCCGCCGCCGCCAAAGCAGAAAGGCCAGGCTGCGGGCGGGGGCGGGGCGGTGGCGACCGGCAGCTGCGCATGCGCCCTGGGCGGCCGGCAGCGCTGCGCGGCCCGCGAGGCGGGCGCGATCTCCGGAAGCCCCTCCCCGGAAGTTAAGGGTCTTCCGGTCGGCGCTCTGCGGTGGGGGAGGGGAAGGAGAGAAAGGGGACTGAGGGCGCCTCTGGAGCCCCTCACCCCAAGCTCGAGTAAGAGAGGGAGATTGCGTGTGGAGGCTGCACTTACAGCCGCTGCCGCCGCCGCCTCCTTCGCTGCTGCCACCACCGCCTGAAGAAGCCCCATCCATCCGCCTGCAGCCGGGAGACTCCGAGCCTGGGAGGGGCCTGGGGCCCGGGCCTCCCGCCTCCTCCTTGCAGTCGTCGTCCGCAGCTTCCTTCGGCTCCACCAACCCTCTGCCCTCCCCTCCGCCTCCGCCCTCCTCCTCGGCCGCGTGCCGCCAGCCAACCGCGCGGCCGCTTGTTGAGCCAGGGCTCCCCGGTCTCCATGGCGCCGGGCAAACATTCCCGGGCCTGGCTCGAGCCGCTGACGCCGGCGGTTGGGGTGCAGGGGCTCCAGCAGCAGCCGGGACGGGGGCGGCTGAGCCGTCCCTCCCCAGCCTGTCGCCACCATGCCCAGCTCTCCGACCGACAGTCGCAAGCCGCCCAACTTGGCGCTGTAAGTTGGGGCGCTGAGTCCCGGGTCGCGAAGGGAGCCCCTCCGCCTCCTCTCCCCGGAGTTGGAAAGGGGTCCTTACGGCATCTCATTCCATCCGCCGACCCCGAAGCTCCCAGGCGGCCATCCCTGCTACCTGCCATGCTTGCCTTAGGAAAACCTGTCTTGTTTAGGGCCATCCCTCCTCCTACCTGACACTTCTGGGTTTCTTTTCTTTTTCTCGGTTTGCAGTCGTAACTTGGATGCCTTCGTGTTGTGCGCCGATGCTACCAGACCAGCATTACTATGCTGGGCTGCGCAGGATTTTTCTGCCATCTCTCATTCCATCCTACCTTAAAACACTGTCCTGTGTAGAACATTCTACTAGCACACAGCTATCCAACTTGACTGCCCTAGAACTTGACATGGTTCTTTAGCGCTGCCCACTAATCTCCACTTATGTCATGTTCCCCACACCTCCAGGTCACTTTCATTCTCCTCAAACTTTCAGCGTCTTTTCTCCAGTCTCCTGCTCTGTTAATGTTCTTTCAGCGGAACTTGATTGGAATTCTGGGGAGAGAGCCTCTCATATTCATCCTTGAATACGGTAATTAGTCTTTTTTTGTCTGTCCTTCCACTGCTATCCAAAGAGCTTTTGTAAAAGCAATAGCCATCCAGCCAAATGCAGTGTACACTTTTGTTCTTAACTGACCCATAGATAGCTTTGACCTAGTTGATCACTTCTTGAGTTTTGAAAATAACTTCATTTGGTTATGGGACACGGCTCTTCCCTACATCCCCTCTTGGTTAATGGCTACTTTTTCGAAATACTTTACTGGGTACTTATCTCCCGTAAATAAACATCATGTGTGGGGTCATTTCCTGAAGCCTTCAGTGTTGCCGTGTGCCTTGAAAAGTTGTGCATACCTGTAACTCACAAAAGTTAAGACCTCTCCCAAGAAAAGACTTTAAAAAATGAAACATCTGCACATAGAAGTTAGTAGACATCTCAAAATTCATATCTAGAACTGAAGATAATTTCCCGTTTTATAGTTTACAGTCTGCCTTTCAGTAAATGGCAGATTCCACTCTTACAGTTACTTAGGTGAAAAACCTTGGTGTTACCTTGGACTTCTCTTTTATGCCCTACTCCATCAGCAATTTCTACTTGCAAAATACAGAGTATCACTCTCATGTAAGTCATTGTCGTATTGTGGTAGCTGCCGAGTGTCCTTGCCAACACCCTCTAGTAATCAGTGTAGTTATTCTGCTCAAACCTTTTAAGTTTTTCCCCATTTCACTTGGCATAAATGCTTACTTTCTTATAGGGCCCCACAGAATCTGGCTTTGGATTCTTGCCCTTCGGTAATTACACTCTACATTGGTTATTCCACAATGCTTTAGGCACACTGTATTCGCATTTTTAGCCCTGGACATTTGCTGTTCTTTGGAATATTGTGCCCCAGATAATCTTATGATTGACTCATTTCCTCACATGTTTTTATGGTACATAAAATGATACTTCCTCTTACCAGCATTTCAATCCTTCACCCTTACTTTATTTTCTTCTACAAAATTTGTCCCTGTAGGTATATTGTATACTTGTTTTTTATAGGGCACAGATGTTTTGTTTTGTTCACTTCTAACCTCTACTGTCTAGAATGAAGAACATAATGTTAACTGAACAAAGGAATGAGTGAAGGTGTACTTCCAGCATTCCAACAGTAACTGTTTACTGTTTATCTTGTCTAGTTTTTGTTTTCACTTCAGGTGTGGAAATCTTAAGTTTAATTCATGTAAATTAAAAGTAATACAACTCTCACAGTAGCTGAGAGTGTTAAGAAAAGTTCCTTAGGAATTTCTTAAATAATGATACTCATAATAGATTATTAAGCAAAGGATGGGGTGGGAGATGGGACGTAATATAACCTTCACTTTTTGAGGTAGCCATGATATCTAGTTAAAACAAAGTTTCAAAGACTTAAATTTTACAACCTATTGGATATACCTAATATGTTATTTCTCATCTTCCTTCTTTTAGGATTTGATCCTGATCTTGTAAATGATCTCTTGAAGCATTTATCAACTTTACACTTTCTCATTTCAGATTTCCTGTTAGATTCTTCCATTGGCTTAGCAATGTTGGACAAATCTCCCATTGTGGGACAAACAACCTCTAGCTTTCTTCACCCCTTCCTCTGCCCAGTTTTTTTATTCTAATTTTTTACATATTCACATTTCCTTTTTTATTCTTTTGAGTTTTCATTTCTTTACCCATCTGTTCTTTCATATTATCCAATCCACTTGTTCCACTAGAGCCCTTAGCAAATTACCAAAATTATTTCAAATTCTTGGTCTAACAATTCCAAAATTTCTACTGTCTTCCACTCTGGTTCTGTTGCTTGCTTTGTTTCTTTACACTATTCTTTTGCCTTCCTATTGATATGCCTTATAATCTTTTGTTGAAAGTGGAACATATTATATGAGGTAAATGGGCCTTTAGTGAGTTTTTAAGTTTGTGTGAATAGGAATTAGGCTATATTTACTCTTTGCTCTAGGTGTGTCTGAGGCTTCAGTTTCCTCTAGGGTGTCCGTCCCCCCCCATCCCCCGCCCCCACCAATCTCTTCTTTTTTTATTTTTCCCATAGAGACTCCTTAAATAGCCTGAGCCTTGCCATTCTTTCAGTTGTAATCCCTTGTTACTATGCAGGAGCTCTGCAAATGTGGTAAGAAATAGGGGGAGGTGAGAAGTGTTCTGTAAAATGACTAGGTCTTAGTTTTTTGTGGACCTTTGTCCCTGAAGTGTGACCATCACAAGTGGTTCTTAGCAGTTTCTTTCTCCTTTGATGGGACAAGATGGCTAATTGGGTTGGATATTTCCTTTCCCCATGTCACATAGGCCCTGGTAAAATCCAAGTTAGTTAGGCTCTAGTAAAATAGAATTCCTTGAGTATAGGTGTTTGCCAAGGAGAACAGAAAGTTCTGGGTGTATTTCATAATGGTTACTTCCCATGTATGTGCTGGAACCCTGAGGGAATTTTTCACTGATTTTCATCCTGAGAACCTGGTGAGTTCATGGAGCTAAAAATGAATGTTTGGGAACCCCTAAGGCTGGGAATCCAAAAGATTCTGTTTTACAACATAAGCCACACTCAGTCTTCAGCAATTAGTCAGTTGCCCTTTTAGTGTTTACCTATTGGCCCCAGTGGCAGTTTCTGCTTCTGTTTTCACTGCCCTTTCCAACATTCTGGGTAGTTGTTTACTCTGTGATCTCATTTTGCTGATGGATCTGATTTTCAGTTTATTCACTCTTTTTGTGAGGACAAAAATGATGACTTTCAAGGTCTTTACGTATTAGGCTGGAAACTTCAACTTTTGCAATCTGTTAACTCCATTGCCCATTGAGTAATATAGAAACTACGCATAGGTCTATAATCAGTAACTTAAAGGTTTCAAAAGTCACCAGATTCAGTGTGCTTTCTTAAATTTCTTAACCCTAAAATTTACTGGTTCACTTATTTCCAGTCTTAATGCCTCTTGTCTTGTTCCTTTTCATTGTTTGCATCCAGTTTCTTTCCTTGGCCCTATTGCCTTCTGTTTGTTTCCTTAGATTTTTATTTTGGGACTCAGTTCATTATCAGTTCCATGAAAAGATTTCAAATTTGAAACTCAGGCTCTTGCTTCTGGTCCCTGAAATTCATCTTAATCTTGCATCTTTCGAGTGCTGCCAGTTAGCTCCACAAGGATATCAGTCTGATATCTAAAATTGAACATGCCTACAATTTATCTCCATGCGTAACGGTAGAAACTAATGTAATCATCATCATAACCCTGTGAGGTGTAGGCAGTATTATTGACCTCAATTTCCATGTAAGAGAAGAAACAGATTAAGAAACTTGCCCAAGAAGTTTCTCCTTGCCTAGTAGTTATTGGATGAGTTTGGCATTTCATTTGACCTTTTTGAGTTTAGTTACAAAACATGGCTATTATTGCACATGTTATAGTAAGAATTGAATTAGAAAAGATGTAAATTCTTTAAGTGGCATTGTTACTCAGTTACCAAGTCCTGTTAATTCTATTTCTGATATTTGAAAGAAACCAAAATTTGTTTTGATGATAAGCACAGAGAAATAGAAATGACTGCCATTGAAGACAGGAGTTTTGTTTGTTTAATACCTACAGATTCCTAGAAATAGGAAATGTGAAATGGCATGTCATATGAGATATCATTTGAAGAAGCACCAGATTTAGTCAAGAAGCAGAATTGTCAAGATCCAGTTAGTAGTTTAGAATTGGCTAGTTTGAATAATTTTGGTGGATTCTGACCACAGAGACTGTTTCTTATTGCTTAGTACTTGACCCTGAGGTGGGTCATAGTGAGTGGATAATGGCCTATGACTGTTAATTTTTAGGTAGAACTTTCAAAGTAGTTATTTCTTTACCTATGTAGAACTGTCTGTTCTTTTCTAACATAGATTTGTGATATAATTGATATGTATCTTTTTAAATTTATTTTTAAAACTAGTTTGTACTTTCTCAACTTCCCACTTTTTAATTGAGCACAAGACTGTAATGGTGAACATAATAAACATGATGCCTTACCACAAAACTTACAGTTTGAATATTTTTGGGAATTCACTGATAAATGTTTTCTTACAAGACTCCATAACTACCTAATTGATAAATCTTATGTCATTCCTTCATAATTTGTTCATTTCTGTCTGGATTATTCTAAAGAATAAAAGAGAAAGAACCACTTTATGAGTAAATGTGGTATGATTCCATTAGGCATATTTAGTTTGATTTGCCTATTAGATATCTATCAGGAGCCACCCAGTAGACTGTTAAACATATGACTATGTAGAGTGAAGTGGGATAAAAGAAAGAAAGAGCAAGGGAATGTTTTGAGTATTGGATATAATTTGAGGTTTGTTTATTCTTTGAACTGTATTAGGTCATATTAGAAGCATGAGGGTTACAACTGAGAAGAAAACAGCTTAAGTTCATGCACTAATGGAACTTATATTCTAGGAGGAGAGAAACAGCTAATTCATTAGATAAATAAGTAAAAGATATGCTATATTAGATAGTAAGAAATGCTAAGGAGAAAAAGCAAGGAGATATGATATATTTAAGAGGGATATTTGACATTTTAGATAAGTGGAGCTAGTAAAGGTCTAAAGAGAGTGAGGACGTTATGTATATACATGTAAGAGAAAGAGCACATCAGGCAAAAAAACCCAAAACAAAGGTTCTCATATGAATGTGCCTGGCATAATTATCCAGAATGCTGATATGGCTAAAAGTAGGGTAAACAAGGCAGGAATTATTCAAAATGAAGTCAGGAGCCTAACTGGATGAATATAGGACTTTTTAGGTCATAGTAAAGACTTAAACTTTTACTCTGAATTATATGGGAAATGAGTGGAGGATTTCAAATAGAGTAGTGGTATGATCTTAGTTGTAAAAGGTCATTGTGGTTGCTGTATAGAGAATAGATTACAGGGAGATAAGGTTAATAGGAAGATGAGTTATAGGACCACTGCAGTAATCTGAGAGAGAGAGAGAGAGTAGTGTTTAGATCAGAATGGTGGAAAGAAGATAATGACAAATGAGTGGATTCTGGGTATATTTTGAAAATTTTTTCACCTAAGAATAGTTTTAACAAAAATGGGAAAGACTGCAAAAGAAGGAGATTTGCTCAACAAGATGATGTAGTAGTCATAGAGGTTTCCAGGAGCTTAATTTTGAACAGGTAAGTTTCAGTTAAACACGTCAGGTAGGTGTGTGTATGAGTCTAGGATTCAGAGGAAAAGTTCAGTTAGAGATACATACTTGAGAGACATCTCATAGCTGTCATTTAAGTTGTAACATTGAATGAGTTCATTAAGCTATGAGTATAGATAGAAAAGAGAAGCCCAAGGATGCATGCTACAGAAAATTGAAGAGGAAAGCTAGGTAAAGGGAGTGTCCTGCAATCCAATTTTTAAAAAAAGAATGAAAAGAATAAATAGGTGGTTCAAATGCTGGTGATCAGTGGGGTGACAACATTGACATGACCATTAGATTTAGTATTGAAGTAGTAATTGGATCTTGGTAATAATCCTTTTGGAGGACTAAAAGGACAAAACCTGATCAGAGTTAAATTCATAGAAAGATTGGGAAAAGGCATAGATGAGGTCAGGTGATTAGAATCATGGAAACCAATTCGAGAAGTTTAATAAGGAAGTGGTCTGCTGACAGATGCTGCAGAGATTTAATACTGAAAGGAGTCCCTTACATTCAGTAATTTGAAGGAGTAGATGAGTTCAATGAAAGTTGTATCTAGGCAATAGGAGAAGTTGGAGCTCAGTTATAATAATTATGGAGCAAATAAGAGGAGACAGTGCAATTGTAGCATGCTTGGCCCTGGGTTCAGTCTCCAGCACCACAAATACATATATTGGAAATTGGACTGTAAAGGGATGAAAACATGTAATAGGTAGAAACATAGCAAATAGTAAGTTGCAGAGATGGCAGGACCATAATTACATGCTCATGGGGAAATAAGATATAGGAGATGTGGATTAATGTAGAAAACAGTAAGAGACAGGTTTCAAAGTATAGATGAAAGATTATTTTTACTGGGCTATGTAATGAGACTACCTCAAATGTCCCTCCTACCTACCCCTCCAAAAAAAATTAGGAAAGGCAACACTTACTAGAAGAAGACAAAAGAGATAGGTGTGGATTGAAATGAGTTTGTAGGAGGCAGAACAAGAATTTAAAGATGGTGGAGAAATAATATGAAGGAGCTTCTACATGACTGACACTTTTATGAGTGATTTTGTTGTGCAGTCCTCCCTAGGGTAAGACATTTAAAAAGAATATAAACTCAAAAATAACATACAAATAGAATTCATTTGCTCATTTATTTGAAAAATATTTATTTATTGCCTGTGATAGAGTAGCTACTGTGCTGGATGCTGGGGTTACACCAATAAATGAGGCAAAGTTCCTATCCTAAACATGCTTAAATTGTATAGAAGAGAGGAAGACAACAAACTAAATGTCAAGTAGTGAAGTGCTGTGAAGAAGAATAAAATATGAAAACTGGATTGATAATTGTCATTTTAAAATATTTACTCTGGTTTTTTACCACTTGAAAAGTAAAAGTATTGTTAAAAATGTTTTCATTGGAAATATATTTCCTTTGTATAATCTAAGGGAAGATCATTTTCTAGAAATCTGTAGTATAGAGTACTAGATGAATAAAATGATAAAGGCAGGTCCTGTCTTACAGAATTGACAGAGTAAATCCAAAAGTCATAATTTTTCTCCTAGATATAAATATTTTGATTATAACTTACTAAAAATATGTTCATACAGGAACATGATATTCTTTGTCAGGTTTTATTATTCATACTTAGTTCTGCCTATTTACACTAAATACTAATTTGTACTATCTCTGTGCCAGGTACTTACTAACTATAAAATATAAATTAATTCATTTAACCCTCATACTAATCTATGTTAGGTACTAAAGTGCCCATTTCATAAATAAGGAAACTAAGACCCAGAGAAGTCAATATAGACTTTGGATCTTACTGCCTGACTCAAATCTCAACTCTAGCAGGAATGTTTCCTTTTAAGTCTTTCTTTATATAAAATAACATTAGTAGAAGCCTCTTGGGGTTGTTGTGAGGGGAAAAGTGGCATAATGCATATAGACTCTGTACAATTATGCTTATACAAAATAAGCTCTCAAGTAGCAATTACTATTTCATGTTATATTGTTAGATTGTTCATGTTTCTAAATATGAGCATCTATTTTTGTATTGTTTGTGAATTTTCCTTTTTAGTCCTGGATCCTCTATATTACTGTATTTTCTTTTTATTGTACAGTACTAATGTCTTACAACCAAGGAAGTCTATTAGCTTTATTGGCCCAGTAAAAGCAACTGCATCCAAAGGATATGCTGGTGCAAGTATAAGCAGACTAGGTATGTCAAGAACCATGGTTGTTTTGCCAGAGATGAAAACAACAGATAAAGATAAAATGAGTATTCCCACCACTAAGACAATACAGGTAATATTCTTCTTTCTTGCTTTTGTTCAGTACTAGAGTTTGAACTTAGGGCCCCATACTTGTAGGCAGGTGCTCTACCACTTGAGTCATATCTCCAGCTTTTTTAGAATTCTGAGTTTATTTTAAAATAACAGTATAAAAAACTTGATTAGAGTCTTGCAGAAAATATATTGCTTTCAAATAATCACTTCCAATATTGAGGAATTTTTTGTTTTGTTGTGAGATAGGGTCTTGGTATGTAACCCAGGCTGTCCTCAAAGTTGGATACCTCCTAACTCATCCTCCTGGGTGCTGGGATTACATGCGTGTGCCACCACACCCAGCTTGAAGTGTTGATTTTATAGTTTTTAACCCCTAACATTCCTTACAGCATAATGGCAGTTGTCTCTTATAACTCATTATTGATAATAAGAATAGTGAAGTGAAACTTGGTGTGGTGATACATGCATGTAATTTCATCACTTGGGAAACTGAGGCAAGACAGTCATGAATTCAAGGCCATTCTGGGGTACACAGCAATACAGAATAGTGGAGTGGGATAAGGAAGTCTATTTATGACCTTAAAAATAGCCATGAAGAAGAACGAAATGTTATCATTCGCTGGTAAATGGATGGAATTGGAGAACATCATTCTGAGTGAGGTTAGCCTGGCTCAAAAGACCAAAAATCGTATGTTCTCCCTCATATGTGGACATTAGATCAAGGGCAAACACAGCAAGGGGATTGGACTATGAGCACATGATAAAAGCGAGAGCACACAAGGGAAGGGTGAGGATAGGTAAGACACCTAAAAAACTAGCTAGCATTTGTTGCCCTTAATGCAGAGAAACTAAAGCAGATACCTTAAAGCAACTGAGGCCAATAGGAAAAGGGGACCAGGAACTAGAGAAAAGGTTAGATTAAAAAGAATTAACCTAGAAGGTAACACCCACGCACAGGAAATCAATGTGAGTCAATGCCCTGTATAGCTATCCTTATCTCAACCAGCAAAACCCCTTGTTCCTTCCTATTATTGCTTATACTCTCTCTACAACAAAATTAGAGATAAGGGCAAAATAGTTTCTGCTGGGTATTGAGGGGGGGAGCGGGAGGGGGTGGAGTGGGTGGTAAGGGAGGGGGTGGGGGCAGGGGGGAGAAATAAACCAAGCCTTGTATGCACATATGAATAATAAAAGAAAAATGAAAAAAAAATAGTTTTTTATGGTATTAGTTATACCTAATACACTGCTAGTACCATCCAGTCTTCTCAGCAATGTACACTTGAAAAGTACCTTAAAATTATCATAAAATTGGTTGTCTCATTAGAAAACTTCTAATTAAGTATTGACTTTTCAGAACTTTTAATCATATCATATATACAGGTAAGTGTGTATATATATACATATATATATAACTGACTAGATGGGAGATTAAAAGCATAGTCTATAAAAGACTTTGAACATCATAAAAATGATAGCTTCTTCTCTTCAAAAGGCATTACTATCAGAATGAAACATATTCTGATAGAGTACTGGTACTGACATAAACAACCTTCACAACAATATTAAGACAACCTGATTTTTACAGAGGAGCAAAATGCTTGAACAAATATTTCACCACCATGGATATACAGATGACAAATCAGTACATGAAAAGGTGATCAGGATGAGTCATTATGCAGAGGCAAATTAAAATCATGAAATAATGCTATATACCTATAAGAATGGCTAAAATTAAGAGATGATGATACCAAGTGTTTACAATATGTGGAGGAGCTAAAACTCTCGTACCCTAGTGGTAGACTTGGGAAATAGGAAAGAGCGTGGCAGATTATTAAGGTTAAACATGTACATACTATATATCATTCTGTCCTAGTTATTTACCCAAGAGAAAAATATTTTTATAAAGACCATATTATATGAATGTTCATAACATTCTAGCCCCAAACTAGAAACAGCCCTATTGTAATTTTGATAAATACTGTGTATTCCTACCTATAAAATATATATTCTCTGCATGTATGTATACATGTGTATGTGTGTCTAGAAGATTGATTGCTACATTCATTTAGTGTAGCAGTGGGAGCCAGGCCCAGTGGCTCAAACCTGTGATCCTAACTACTTGGATGGTAGAGATCCAGAGGATTATGGTTCCCAGACCAGCCCATGCAAAAAGTTTGCAAGACTCTTAACTAATGACAGGGTACAGTGATGTATGTCATCCCAGCTAAACAGGGAAGCACAAATAGGAAAATCTCACTCCAGGCCAGTCTGGGCATGAAGCAAGACCCTTTCTCAAAAATAACCAAAACCAAAAAAGGGTAAGTAGAGTGGCTCAAGTGGTAGAACACCTGCCTAGCAAGCACAAGGCTCTGAGTTCATGCCCTAGTACCACACAAAAGAAAAGAAATACAAAAGCAGTGCACACACACACATACAAATAGCAGTAGGAATCTTACCCAGAGCAATTAGCAAGAAAAAGAAGTAGAAGGTAATCAAATTGAAAGGGAAGAAGTAAAATCTGTTATTAATGACATGATCTTATAGGCAGAAAACCTTGAAGATTACATACATAGTGTACACTCACACAGTTACAACAAATGCATAAATTTAGCAGTTTACAGGATAGTAAATTTACACATAAAGAACAATTCCATCCCTAACAATGAAAAGTACAAGCCAAACATAGTAGTACATGCCTGTAACACCAACACTCAGGAGGATTCAGGAGGCCAAGTCCAGCTTGTGCTACATAATGAGACTCTGCCTCAAATCAACAAAAACAAAAATCCAAGCAGGGAAATTTTTTTTTAAATTCCATTTACTGTAGTAGGAAAAACAATACAATAGGAATAAGCTTAACCAAAGAGTGAAGTTTTATATAATGAAAACTACAAAATGGAGTCAGCCAGGAGACATCTTTCTGCACTGCCCCACTGGGAGTAAAAACTATAAGCATTACTGAGATGAAAGAAGACACCAACAAATGGAAAGATGTCCTTTGTTCATAAGTTGGAAGATTTGAATGTTAAGACGTCAGTTCTACACAAAGCCATTTGTGGATTCAAGGCAATCCCTATCAAAATTTAATGACATTGTTTTCAGAAATAGGAAAAAATTCTAAAATTCACAAGAATGACAAGAGACCTGAAATAGCCAAAATAATCTTGAATAAGAGCAAAGAGTTGGAATTCACAAGCTTCCTATTTCAAAAACTTGGTACAAGTGTGTAGTAATCTAAGTATGGTACTGGAATAAAAATAATATATAAACCAATGGAATAAAATGGAGAGCCCAGAAATGAACCCTTACACATATGGTCAAATGATTTTTGATAAGGATGCAAAGAATGTACAATGAGGAAAGGACAGTCTTGATTAGAAATGGTGTCAAAAGAATTAGAAAAAAAAAGAAGGAGCAAGGTGTCAATAACATAAATGTTTAGTTAAAGAACAAGTAAAGGAAAAAAATGAGCAAAAGAACAGAGAGATTTCTCCACAGATAAACAAATATCCAACAAGCACATGAAAAGATGCCCAACAACACCAGCCATTAGGGAATTCAAATCAAAACCACATTGAGATACCTCCTCACAACCACTGCAATGACTACTATTAAACAAAAACAAGCCAGGCAGTCCAGAGGTTATGGCAGGATCACAAGTTTGAGCCCAGCCTAGGCTACTTATGGAGACCCTCGAAAGTAAAACAAACAAAAAAAGCAAGAAAATAAGTATTGGCAAGGACATACAGAAATTGGAATCCTTGTGTGAGTGAGATTATAAAATTGTGGCTCTTCAAAAACTTAACAGAACTATCATATGGTCTAGGAATGCAACTTTTAAGCATAAACCCAAAAGATCTGAAATCAGAATTTCAAGTAGATTCTTGTAAAACTGTATTAATAATGGTGTTATGTATGCAATAACTAAAAGATAAAAGCAATTCAAGTGTCCATCAATAGATGAATTGATAAAATGTGATAACATAGATACAATGCAATATTACTCAGCTTTAAAAAGTAAGAAATTCTGACACATGCTACAGCATGGATGAACCTTGAAGACATTATGCTAAGTGAACTAAATCATTTATAAAAGGACAAATACTATATGAGTCCATTTATATGAAGGACCTTGGGTAGACAAATTCATAGATACAGAAAGACAGTTTGCCAAGGCTTAGAAGGAAGAGGTAAAGGGGAGTGTTTTAATAGGTATGCGGTTTCATTTTACTAGATGACTAGAGTTCTGCAGTTGGGGAATATGTAATACCATTGATCTGTACGCTTTAAAAATTAAAATAGTTTTATGTGTATTTAGTATAATTTCTTTTAAAAAGATAATTAGACCAACTTTCACTACAACAGCATGAGGAGATCTACTTCCCATTAAATTATTTTTTTAAAAAATACCTCTGGTATTGGATTTAAAAACAAACATATAATGAAGGACCATCTTTTCAAGGAAATCTGAGGGCTGATGGAGTGGCTCAAGTGGTAGAGCACCTGCCTAGCAAGTGTGAGGCCAAGTTCAATGCCTTAGTACTGGGGAAAAAAAAAAAAAAAAGAGGGAGGAGAGAAAAGAAGTCTGAAAGTTCATTAGAGAAAGGAAGTGTCTATTGCACTTGAACCAAGATACTTTCTCCTTTTTCACTCCTAGCTCAGTGAGCAGAGGTTACACTTTGAACTGCTTCTACCCACAAATGCAGGGTTCTCCCTCAGCTTCCATACATAAGACTTGTCTCCATATGCAAGGCTTGGTTTTTTATCATCCCCTGATATCAGTGTTATAGCAGCTTCCTATTGCTGAGTGGCCTGAGTGAGTGTGGTTGAGAATTGGGGTCTCCCTTCTGCCCAGATCTCACTGATGAACTCTACCTTGGCTGTGGTATACTGAGAATACCGGGGGTTTGCCCTGGCTCATGAGGCATAGGTTCTATGCCTGGAAAAGCAGGCAGAGATCTCAGGCTACTACACCCCTTCTCAACCTAAGACTCAATACCTAGAATGTGAGGTTGGCAT